CCGAAGCAGTTTCGATGTCTTTTCACTGTTGTTCAACTACAAATGTTCTGTGACTCCACTATTGCCTTTCTAATACCCAGCTTTTTCAGTTGTCTTTTGTAATTATTGATTTGTAACTTCTTTGCATTATGATCAGATTCCAACTTTTTGAAATGTGGCTTGCTTTCCGGCTTGGGACATGGTCACGTTTCATCAACCTTGCGCACGTGTATTCTGTGGTTGTTGGCTGCAGTGTTCTATACAATGGCTGTAAGCTCAAGTTATTGATTATGTTGTTCAAAAATTCTATATCCTTGGAGACCCTTTTTATGTCTCTTGGATGAAGTACGGGGTCGGGGAGACCTCCCACTCGGATTATGTATTTGTCTATTTCTCCTTTTAGTAAGTTAACTTCTCCTTTATATATTTTGAGGTTTTGTTATAAATGCATAATCATTCCTGGTGAATTGAGTCTTTTATCATTAGGAAATGTCCTTCTACATCTCGAATAATGCTGTTCGCTTTTGAAGTGTATTTTGTTTGAATATCTCTATACAAGTGTTCTATCGCTTATGTCATTATTCGGGTGACTTAGCTCTCCCCATCTTTTTATGGTCAACCTATCTGTATCCTTATATTTTGAATTTGTCTCTCTCAAACAGCATACAGACGTACTTATTCATCCTACTTGATAATACTTGAGCGTTTAGCTCATAAACACTTATTTATTTATTTAAAAAAAATTTTTTTAACGTTTGCTTATTTTTGAGACAGAGAGAGACAGAGCATGGAACGGGGGAGGGTCAGAGAGAGAGGGAGACACACAGAATCTGAAACAGGCTCCAGGCTCCGAGCGGTCAGCACAGAGCCCGACGTGGGGCTCGAACTCACGGACCGCGAGATCATGACCTGAGCCGCAGTCGGACGCTTAACTGACTGAGCCACCCAGGCGCCCCTTAGCTCATAAACATTTAATAAAATCATTGATATATTGGGGTTTCAAGCTACCATTTTATTTTGTGCTTGTATTGGTTCCCCCTGAGTTTCTTTTGCCTCTTCTTTCTTGATTTAAAAAGAATTGACTTAAAAGGAATTTTTAAAAATTTTTCGGTTATTTTCCATCTCCACTAGTTTGAAGATTTACATCCTGTTGTTGTTATTTTAATAATTACATCCTATTATTGCCTACATACATAATTACCTCTGATAAAAGTCTAGATGTAAGTACCTAAGTCCCTTCCGATGTGATACAAGGCCCTTAGAAAACTTGAACTCCATTTACGCTGCTTCTGACGTCTTTTCTTATCGTAAGGTCCTTACAAGTTTCTTTTTTCAAAAACAGAATGGACGTTTGTGTGATTCCTTCTTCCATCCGTGTTCACTCATATTGCCCACGTACTTTCCCTGCTCTCCATTCCGTCCTGCGTTTCCTTCTTCTAAGATAATTTTCCCCCTGAAGTACATCCTTTAGAATCTCCATTAGGGCAGTCTGCCGGTGGCAATCTCTCTTAGTTTTTCTTTGCCTAAAAATATCTTGCTATCACCCTCTCGTTGAGTGTTTCCACGAAAGATGCCGCCCTCGGGGTCTCAGCTTAGGCTGGGGAGGGGTCTTTCATAAGCGTCCCGCACCCGGGCTTTGGCTTCTGATGAGCCAAAGAGCTCGAGCGTGAAGTGTCTGTAAGCCCTCAGCTACTTCGATGGGAGAACAATGTCTATTTCAACAGGGCTGCTGGAGAGGCTTAAGTGAGATAATGGATGGAAAATTCCTGACAGAGAGGAGCAAAGCAACCAAAGGTAGCTATTATTGGTTCAACCGAAAGTTTTAGTTCCTAACCATCAACTTCTCGAAAGTTTATGCTTTTGCAATTGGAAAATAAAATGCGGCCCCCCTTAGAGCCACCAGAGCCTGAATCTTTGCCATTGGAAGTGGCCCCCGACACCCCAAAACATGCAGCCAGAGATAAGGGATGTTCAATAACCGACTGGAGCCAGCTTAGCCACCCTCCTCCCAGGTCTGCATGGAAAGACCCTCTTTTTGTTCTCAGGACCCAACCCAGGCACCTGGTACACAATCCATTTCTTTTTTTTTTTTTTTTAATGTTTATTTATTTGAGACAGGGAGGGAGGGGCAGGGAGAGAGGGCGAGAGAGAATCCCAAGCAGGCTCCACACTGTCAGCGTGCAGCCAGATGCGGGGCTCGATCCCACGAACCGCGAGACCAAAACCAAGACTTGGGGGCTCAACCGACCAAGCCATCCGGGCACCCCCCACACACACACTACGTTTCTTTTCAGCAATCTTGTAGAGCTCTGAGGTCTAGTCTTTGTCTTTTCTGATGCCTCCAGGGCTGGCTGCAGATCACCTGACTTGGTGATGAGACCCTTCAAATTCGGAAAAAGAATCTGCTGAGAGACCAGGGGCAGATGTCGTGGTCCTGGGGGGCCAAAGGAAGAGTGTGAAGTTAGCCCATAAGCTACTGCTGGCCTCAGCCCTGGGTCTGCAAGGTGACCAGCCTGCCTTCTCCCCACCTCTATCACCCCATCCTACTCTATCCCGTCCACAAGAGACAGGCCACAATCCTGAGACGGAAGGTGCTTCGCCTCCAAATCTGGATTCTATACTTTAAGGAATTCTAAATACTAAGGTTGGAAAGAAGAGAACACAAAGGGCAGGAGCGGGGGGGGGGGGGGCTGGGTGGCTCTCAGCCGGTTAAGCATCCGACTCTTGATTTCGGCTCAGGTCACGATCCCACTTTGCCCATGTTCTCTCTCTCTCTCTCTCTCTCTCTCTCTCTCTCTCAAAATAAATAAAGAAACTTAAAAAAAAAAAAAAAAAAAAAAGCAAAAAGGAGCAGGTGAAGTACCTTGAGTGTTAAAGAGGAACCCAACAGTAGCTTGAAGGGCACCCCACTGTTGACTCACTTCCAGCCATCACCAGTCACGAAAAAGCAACAGCAACTGCTTTGTGCGTGGGCCGTCCGCTCGTGCAACGCATGCCCCCAGCACCCTGGCCCCCGAAAAGTCCCAAGTGGGGAAAGGAGCCATGCTGTTCCAGAATAAGGGGAACGAGGGTGTTACGGGCTGAATTGTGTCCCTCCAGAGCACACGGGCGGGAGCCCTGGCCTCCGGTACCTCAGGACGTAACTGTAGGTGGAGATGGGCCCGTAAGACAGGTGACTGAGTCAGGATGAAGCTGTCAGAGTGGGTCCTAGTCCAATCGGACTGGGGTCCTTAGAAGAAGAGGACATTTGAAGGTGGGAGCAGGCACACACAGACCCTGTGAAGAGGCAGCGAGAGTGCAGCTGTCTGCAAGCCAAGGGGAGGGACCTCAGGGGACACCAATCCTGTGTGCACCTTGATCTGGATTCCTAGCCTCCAGACCTGTGAGGAAATAAATGTCCCCTGTTTGAGCCACCGGCTCTGTGGCCCTCGGTTATGGCAGCCCCAGCAGTCTCATAGGTGGAGCCACTGACTTCCGACCCATTCACTCCGGACAGACTCCCTTTCACGGAGTTGCTCCTTCTCTGAGGCCAGTGATGCCCAACCCGGCAAAGGAGGGGTCCGCTCAAGAGCTCACAGAAGGGCGACCTAGAATGCAGTCTTCGGGTTGAGAAATGGAAGAGCTCCATCACCGGCAGAGAGCTGTGGCTCGGGGGGGTCTAGGCGAGTTGCGTTGGGTGTTAGTCCTCATACTTCTTCCTCAAGTACAAAATGAAGGAGAAAGATACTAAATGGAGAAAGGTTGGAGGGGGGTGGTTTTTAACCATTACTGGACCACAGGCCCATCTAAACATGTGCAAAGCTCTGGACTCCGAGAAATATAGCGTCTGTATTAGTTTCTTGTGGCCACCCTAACTACCACCAACTCAGGGGCTTAAAACAATTTATACCCCGATGGTTCTGGAGACCAGAAGTTCAGCATCAGTTTCTCTGGGCTCAATCCAAGGTGTGGGCAGGGCTGTGCTCTGTTCTTTGCCTCTTCCGGTTTCCGGTGGCCGCGGGCACTTTTGCCTGTGACCACGCCACTCCAATCCCTGCATCAGTCTTCAACATCACCTTCTCCTCTTCTGTTTGCGTCAGCTCTCCCTCTTCTTCTGTCTTACAAGGACGCGAGATTGCATTGAGGGCCCACTCAGATACTCCTGGAGCATCTCCTGACGGCGAGATCCTTAATCTAACCACATCTGCAAAGACTCTTACTTTATACGAGGTTAACATCTGCAGGTTCCGGGGATTGGGACTTGGTATATTTGGGTGGCCATTATTCAGCTTCCTACAGAGGCCAGAATCTTTGCATCCAATTTCAGGCAGACCGTGGACCCCAGGTAGGAGCGTCCGCTCTGGAGCTGCATTTCACCCAAGATATGCTATAAACAGATACGTTGGAGGCAGGTCCATTTACTAATTCACCATCCTCCTACATCCTCTCGGGATGAACTACAGCGACTTAACAAAAATCACACCCAGCTCTTGTCCTAGTCGATCGGAATCCCCCCGGAAGCGGGGCCCGGGAATCTGCATTTCTAACCAGCTCCCTCCCCCCCCCCCAAATGATTCTCATGCAGCCAGACTTGCACCCATACCTTAGTGAGTACTGGTTAAGGGCCCTGATGCCCGAGTGCCTTCCCTGTGACATGGACACGCTACCACCTCCTTCACAGTAAAAGAATTGTGTAAGTCTATTTGCACAGAGCAAGCGCTGATGCTTTTTTTTTTTTTTTTTTTTCTCCCTTCCCCCTATACAAAGGTGAGCCGCTTTTATTGTGTACTTGATTTCGATCCCATTCGGTGTTTAATGCGCCGGCCCCAAGGCGCGGAGTTGAGCCAAGAGCGAAAAGAGGGAGAAGCGGGCAAGAGTCGCAAACTCTTCCAGTCCAGGCACCGAAGCGGCCTTGGACGCCCGCCGGCCCTTCTGCCCACCTCACCCCGCCCCCCTCGGGCGCACATTTGCATCCGGCTCGAGACCGCGCGGGGACCCGCCCCCGCGCCCCGCTGATTGGCCGCGCCGGCTCTCTCGTCACGCTCTTTTGTCTCCGTGGGCCGAAGATAAAAGCAGCGGCGGCTGCCGTGGGAACCGTGCTGTCTGGACTCAGCTACCCCTCGCTGGTGGCGGGGGGCGCCGTGCGGAGCAGCTCCGCGGGCAGCACCGGGTCGCTTAAGCGGCCGGGGACGTGCCCATCCTCTTCCCTCGCAGGGCCGCGGAGACCGGAAGGCGGCATCCGCAGCTGGCAAGGCCCGAGGGTCCGCAGCCCACCGAGCCGAGCACAGGTAAAGAAAGGGGGGCGCGATTGCCCGGCGGCGGAGAGAGGAGGCGCACCGGTCCCGGGTGGCTCCTCGCCTGGGGGAACCGGGGACGGCGAGGCGTGGGGAGGAGCACGCCCGTGGACCGGCAGCGCTGAGGGAGGAGGTGGCGTTGCGCTGGATGCCGCCTAATGGGTAGGATTTGCCTGGATTGAGCGGCGGGGCCTTTTCGGGGGGGGGGGACGAAGGGTGGGGGTGGGGGGGAGGGAAGGATGGCAAGCTGTCTGCCTTGAACCCCCCTTGCATCCCTTCATCTCTTCTGGAGAGGGCTGTGTGGGTGTGCGTGTTCAACTCCTGTTCCCTATCTCCATGGCAGGCCGTCAAAGCCGAATCCGAACTTGAATTCTGTGCGGCTGATTGCAGAGCTGGTAGGCCGACCACTTCCCGGGGGAAATGTAATGCGGCGGGGGTCGCTTTGGCTTGTGCTCAGAAGGTGGGAGAGGGAATTTTCCGCCTACCCACAGCGGAGGCAGCGGGGAGGGGGTGGGTGGCGGGGGTGGAGGGGGGAGGAGGGAGCGGGATGAGCGAGGAGGCTGCTCCTGACCCTTCCCTTCCCTGCCCTCCGCGGCGGCGGCGCAATCTTGACGCCCGGAGGTCTCGGATCGGCGACCCCCCCCCCCCAACCCGGTGGACAGAGATCGGCTGTTAGCCTGGAGACGAGCTTTCTCGCAGAGGCCACCGGTTGCAGAAGCTGGAAGTGAAATAAAGGCGCGCTCGCGCCCGTTCCTGCGCTCCTGTAAGAATCTGAGACATAACCGGGGCGGGGGTGGGGCGGGGGGACTTTCAGAAGGGGGTGTGGTTGGGACCTGAGACCAAGAGGTTAACGAGATCTTATGGATTCCGACAAATCTGTGACCACTGTGCTCTATTTTGAGAGGCCAATATCAGCTTCCGTACACACGATTACACTTAGAATTAGAAGCAACAGTTGCCCTCCCTCCTGAACGACTGGCTGGATGTGGCCGTAAAAAGCACCCTGCTTACACCGAGACACCGGCTGGCTCCGTGAGGTTGTAATCGCCAGTCTCCCAGAAGATATTTTTAGGGAGGTGGGCATATATAAGATGCACTGCAGGATATGCAGGAAGGGAGAGAGTAATACGACTGCAGCCAATTCCCTTATTAACTACTACCCGGTTTTTTTTTTTTTCTTCTTTACAGCCCCTACTGAGATAGGAGAGTCCCCCAGCACGCCTGCACATTAGGCTAACCCACAAAGCCTGAGCGTCTTGTTCCATTCGGACGCCCCGATCGTCATCAGTCATGGCTAGCATCATTGCGCGCATGGGTAATAGCCGGCGGCAGAACGCACCCTTGCCGCCCTGGGCCCATTCTATGCTGAGGTCCCTGGGGAGAAGCCTCGGCCCTTTAATGGCCAGCGTGGCAGAGAGAAATATGAAGTTGTTCTCGGGGAGGGTGGTGCCAGCCCAGGGGGAAGAAACCTTTGAAAACTGGCTCATCCAAGTCAATGGGGCCCTGCCGGATTGGAATATGTCTGAGGAGGAGAAGCTCAAGCGCTTGCTGAAAACGCTTCGAGGCCCCGCCAGGGAGGTCATGCTTTTGCTGCAGGCGGCCAACCCCAATCTGAGTGTGGCCGATTTCTTGCGTGCCATGAAATTGGTGTTTGGAGAATCGGAAAGCAGTGTGTCGGCTCACGGTAAATTTTTTAACACCCTGCAGGCGCAAGGGGAGAAAGCCTCCCTTTATGTGATCCGTTTAGAGGTGCAGCTCCAGAATGCTATTCAGGCGGGGATCATAGCTCAGAAAGATGCAAACCAGACCCGCCTGCACCAGCTCCTTTTAGGGGCCGAGCTGAACGGGGACCTGCGCTTTAGGCTGAAGCATCTTCTCAGGATGTATGCAAATGAGCAGGAGCGCCTCCCCAGTTTCCTCGAGTTGATCAAGATGGTCAGGGAGGAAGAGGATTGGGATGACACTTTCCTTAAACAGAAACGGCCCAAAAGATCCGAGTCACTGGTGGAGAGGGCCACCAGCCTGATGGCATTTCAGGGCTCCCCGCAGATAGTGGTCGGCAGTCCCGACTGCAACGTGATAGAGATAGATGATGCCCTCGATGACTCAGATGAGGATGTGATCCTGGTGGAGTCTCAGGACCCTCCACTGTCATTCACGGCTTCTCCGCTCCCCAGACGCAGGGCCAGACCTCGGGACCAAGTGCTAGTCATCGATTCCCCTAGCAGTTCCCGGGCTCAGTCTCCTTCCACCAGCGGGGGTTCTGGGCATAAGAATGATGGTTCTAGGCACCTGCGTAGAACCAGGAAGCGAAAACACACAATCCGCTGCTCCTACTGCGGCGAGGAGGGCCACTCAAAGGAAACCTGTGACAATGACAGCAGCCGGGCCCAGGTGTTTGAGAATCTGATCATCACCCTGCAGGAGCTGACCCATACAGAGGAGGAGGGACCCAGGGAGGCCCCTGGCCAACAAGATGACCCTTCTGAGCTGCAGTGAGCTGGTGTCCCCTAGCCTTAAGTGAACCCTAACCCATATTCTGAGTCCAGCAATGGGACAACTGGGGCGGGGCGCTTCTAATTGCATGAATCCACAAAGCAGCTTTCCTTTGGGAGTGGAGTAGAGAGGGTCTTGAATACCAGCGCAGTGGAGGGAGCACCCCCTGCCCAAGGGCGTGTTTTCTTTGTGAAAGTGGCATCATTCATTGTTAAATCTTCAAACAAAGAAAAGTACAAGAAAGTAAAGTACAAGTGACCCCCAGCTCTCCACCCCGATCTAACCGTCGTCATCCCTTTGATGGACGTCCTTCTAGATACTTCCCTATACCGGTGTACCCAGATAGATGTATGTATAGATAAAAAGGATCACCTAGAAGTGCTGTTCTATAGTCTGTATTTTTTCACCAAATGATATATGTCGTGGGCTTCTTTCTATGTCAATAAATATTTATCAGCATCGATTTTAATGTCTCTGTTGCTATTTTAGGGAGAGGTAAAGGGAAAAGGAGCAACATAGCAGAAAGCTATACGGGGATGGGTTTGTACCCCGAGGTGGGGTTTTTATCGACCTCAATTTGCAGAGGGAAGGGAAAAGGGAAGAAGGAAGAAGAGAGGGCTGAAACCGTTCCCAAAGGTAGGTGGACGGAGCCCCTTACAACGGGCCTGCCCCTCGGGTCAGACAAGCCAGGCTACGGTGCCCGCTAGTTGGATAGCAGTGGGGCGGTGCTTTCTCCTCTACCGGATTCAAAGGAGTCCGGTGCTGAGGTACTAGCCCCAAAATAGGGCTCCCAGGGGCACCATTCCTGGTCACTTTGAGGAAGAGCACTTCTTCCTCTGGGTGCATCCCTGGGATTGCTGTTGCTGCTGCTACTTGTGGACATCCCGGGTCACAACCGGGAATGTCTCCTGTGGCCTGACGCCACCCTCTCCTCACCCCCCCACCCCCACCCCCCCCGAGCCTCACTCCCCGGTGAAGGAAAGGAGAGAGCAGAGCCCAGCGCTGGGAGCGTCAGGGCCTCCCCCCATCAGCCCTGAAGTGATTTGCTGGAGGACAAGGGCGCCCGAGGACTCCAAGCTAACCCCCTCCTCACCCCAAGAATTGAGACTCGCTGGGGAGGGATGAGAAGTCATCTAGCAGCCGGGCACCTGCAGGAACCCGGCCATCAGAAAGCCGAGAGGCCCCATACAGCATTTTAGTGAGTGGAGGGCACTCACGGGGGAGGGAAAGAAGGGGCGGACCCTCCTGGAAGCTGGCCTGGCCCCCCCCCCATCTCCTCCTCTCATATTGGAGGGTGGTAAGCGAGGACGTGGGTGACCTCAGCCCCTGAGGGTCCCTGTGTTTTGCGTAGGTGCGTGCGTCCCTATTTCTGTGAGCAGGACGAGGCTGGGTGGGGGGGCATGATTGCATTGAGGGCTGTGTGCGGAGAGGGAAGTGAATGCGCAGATCCGAGGACCCGGGGGAGTTGGTCGTACAGGAAGTAGGGACTTCACAGAGCTGAGAGGGTAGCGTTTGTGGCAGTGGGAGATGGTGCGTGGGGCGGGGGGCGGGGGGCAGAGAGAAGCACAGGGGACAGAGGGTGAGGGCATGATGACCAGGAAGACACAGGGAGCTGACAGCCACAGGAAGCCTGGCGGGAATCGCAGGTTCCAGGGGACCCTACAGAACTCTGGGCTGTGCTGTCCTAGCGGGGCCGGAGGGGAGGTTAGGGGCCCAGGGAGAGGTACTGGGGTTTTAATTAGGCTGGCGGTTGATGACAGCTCAGTGGGGATGATGAGCTCCGTAGGGACACAGGGCTGCGGGCTGAGGCCCCGAGGGAGCAGGAGAAGCCACGGCAGCCTTCCCTGGGCTGCCGTACTCGGAGCCTGCCTTGAAGTACTTCTCTTTCCAGAAAGAGCCCCTCAGCCCCTCCCAGGCCTCTCCCTCCTGCCCCATCAATGACCTCACAATCTGACCCTAAAACCCTCCACTCCAACCACCCACGCTCCCCTCTCAGAAGTGGTGGTGGTGGTGAGGGTCGGAGGCTCAGCCTTCCGTGCTCCGCCATCACCCCTCCCCCACCCCACGCCTCACACCCCGAATTTGCCTTCAGCCTCAGCTTTCTTAACCCTCATGTGCAGAAGGAGACTGGGAGAGCCTCTCTGCCTCGGGATCCTTTAGCTGACAACTGGCCAGGAGAGGGCCCCCTCCTTGCATCCCTCTGGGGCACCTCTGGGAAAGTCACCCCTATCTCTCCCAAGCCGACCCCAGGCAAGTGGCAGCTCCACTCAGACCCTGCAAAACCACTTCACAGTGTATGTAGATTTTTAACCCTTAATTCCTTGCTATGCCTCCCTAAATCACCCCTTGGGAGGTCTCTACCTAGATTAGAATATCAGTCCACCTCCGGATCGTTCCCGCCCCCCCGCTGACTTCACTCTATAAACACTTGTTGAATATTTGTCCAAAGACACAGCTGGTGCTGTCGTAATTTCTTTCTGGCACCAGGCAGAATAGAAAGACGGAAAGAAAAATCCATACATTTGGCCCATTTCGCGACCCTCCTTTACAACGGAGTCAGTGTGGGGGTCCGGTGTAGACCTCTGCAGAGTGATCATTTCACCCACCTGATGTAGCCTGACATTTCTTTTTGTCTGTTTCATTTCAAGAAAAGCCAAGAGATACATATTTTCCCTGATTAGAAGACATGGAAATGACACCTGGGCATTCTGATCAGCTTGATGAGGTTGGTCTCCAAAAGGCTTCACTTGAAGCTATAGGCTAATTCGCATTGATACGGATGGAGCTAGAGAGTCTAGCGCTAAGTGAAATAAGCCAGAGAAAGACAAATACCATATGATTTCACTCCTATGTGAAATTGAAGAAACAAAGCAAAGGAACAAAGGGAGGGGGAAAGAGACAGAGAGTAGAGGCAAACCAAGAAACAGACTCCACTCTAGGGAACAAACTGATGGTTACCAGAGGGGCTGGGGGGGGGGTAGACGGCAGGGGGTGGGGGGAGGGGGGGAATAGGTGACGGGCATTAAGAATGCACTTGTCCCGATGAGCACCGGGTAACGCATGGACGTGTGGAATCACTCACTATATTGTAAACCTGAAACTAATGTTACGCCGTGTGCTAAATCACCGGAATTTAAAGGAAAACTTAAAAACAAAAAAGAAAGCTAGAGGCTAATTTTCTTCCTTTCTGCCTTTATTCTCATCGGTCGCTAAGAGATGAAAATTGCTCTTTTTGTCTTGTCAGAAGAAACCGGCCTCTGAGTGCCCTTTTGTGTTAGATCTCCCTCCTTCTTGGCATTCTCTCCCTTTGGTTTCCATGACACCCTTTTCTCGTGGCTCCCCCCTCCCCGGTCTTGTGGTTGCTGCCACTTCTCCGTCTCCTTGGCCGAATCTTCGTCCTCTCCTTGATCCCTCCACCATAGTCATAAAAATAAAAATCCCGACAACCGTGATTTATGAAGAGCTTACGGAAGTCCTTTAAATGCATTAGCTCTTTTAATCCTCTTGTTAACCCCCTAAAGTAGGCATTACCATTAGCGCGCATTTCAGACAGAGGAAACAAGCTGGGACCTTAAGGCACTTGCCCAGGGGCTTGCGGGTACTTGGTGGGGGAGCCGGAGGTCAGACTCCGGGGTCAGGGGCACTTGCTTCTTAAAGGTCTCAGCCGGCCTGTGATCACAACTCCGCGCCGCTGTGATCAGCTGCGTATGACCTGTGAGTAAACGGAGGTTCGTATATTCAGGAGAAGACGACCTGCCTTTCCCAGGTGTGCCCTGTGTAGGAGTCACTAGCACAGGGCTGGGCTGTGGTCAGCCCTCAACATCCGGTAGCTGCTCGGTAGCTGCTCATACTCTGCTAGAATGCTTTGCTCTGCTGGGCAGGGGTGGGGGGGGGAG